AGAGAGGAGATCCTTAGGGAGTTTCATTGCTCCCGTTTTGCTGTGCATCCAGGTAGTACAAAGATGTACCATGATCTTCGCCGCCAATACTATTGGAATGGGATGAAGAAGCACGTTGGAGATTTTGTTAGTCGATGTCTCACATGTCAGCAGGTCAAGGCTGAACATCAGAGACCAGCAGGGTTGCTCCAACCTTTGGAGGTGGCTGAGTGGAAGTGGGAGCACGTCACGATGGATTTTGTGACTCACTTGCCACGGACATCGCGAGGGCATGACGCAGTATGGGTGATAGTGGATCGGCTTACAAAGTCGGCACACTTTTTGGCAGTACGAATGACCTTCACACTGGAGGATTTTTGTAGACTGTACATACGGGAGATAGTTCGATTACATGGGGTGCCCGTATCTATAGTATCCGATCGGGACCCTAGGTTTACGGCCCATTTTTGGGAGAGTTTTCAGCGGGCCATGGGAACACAGTTGATGATGAGTACCGCTTTTCATCCCCAGACGGACGGTCAGTCAGAGAGGACTATCCAGACCTTAGAAGACATGCTACGGGCATGCATCCTTGATTTCAAGGGTGGCTGGGAGGAGCATTTACCATTAGTAGAGTTCGCCTACAACAACAGTTATCAGGCGAGTATACAGATGGCACCTTATGAGGCACTTTATGGGAGGCCGTGTCGTTCTCCGATTTGCTGGACCGAGGTTGGAGAGAGACCCTCCACGGGTCCGAATTTGATTAGAGACACTTCAGAGAAGGTGGACTTGATACGGAAACGTCTTATCACGGCTCAGAGCCGGCAGAAGAGTTACGCTGACAGACGGCGACGACCTCTGGAGTTCGAGGTTGGAGATCATGTCTTCTTAAAGGTGATGCCTAAGAGGGGAGTGGTCAGGTTCGGAAAGCGGGGAAAGCTGTTGCCGAGGTATATCGGGCCCTTCGAAATACTTGAGAGGGTTGGTACAGTTGCCTATCGGTTGGCATTACCGCCTAGTCTATCTGGTGTTCACGCGGTGTTCCATGTTTCTATGCTCCGAAAGTACACTCCAGATCCTACACACGTGGTGGATTGGGGTGAGCTAGTGGTTGATGCGGATGGAACCTTTGAGGAGGGACCAGTGCGTATCATGGACAGCCGAGAACAGGTTTTGCGGGGCAAGACTGTGAGGCTGGTAAAGGTGTTGTGGCAGCACCGTGGGATGGAGGAGGAGACATGGGAACGTGAGGACACTATCCGAGCTACCTATCCATTTTTGTTCGAGAATGGAGGTACATCTCTTACAGTCATAGAGTATTTAATGATTTTTTTTGCATATGCATGTCGTTATATATGCATGTGGGTATAATTTCGGGGACGAAATTCCCTTAAGGGGGAGAGAATGTAAAACCCGAAAAAAAAAATATATATATTATTAATCCTAATAAAAATAAAAGGGTAAAATAATAATTAATTGTTAAATTATGGGTCAAAAACGTAAATTTAAAAAAAAAAAATAATAATATATATATACATATATAAGTGGAAGACTTTCAAGTCTTCCACTTTTTGGGTGTTCTACGGCCGGTGAGAAAGAGAGAGTGAGGAAAAATAAACAGAGAGTTTTTTTATTTTTTTTCTCTTTTCTTCCTTCTCAGATCTAGGAAAATTTAACCGTTTAATCGCTTCGGGCCAAGAACTAAAGTTGCTCTACTCAGCGAGAGCTACGCAACCACACCAAAGATCGTATTTTTCTTCGAAGGTATCTCAAAGCCGATAATCCAGACCTAAAACTTAGGAAGCTAAATTTGGGCTTCCTTGGTGTTCTTGTAAGTGGTCTCACGCTACGAGAGGTAGGGTTTCCCCTATTTAGATTTAATTTCAACTTAAAATATGACATATGGAATGAGTAGATTATGAGTGTATATCACATGTTAGGTCTTGACTAGTGGGTCAAATATAGAATTTATAATTAATCTTGTGATTAATAAAATTCTATTGTGATTAACTTGGTATAAGTTAATGTTAGTAGTTTAAAGCATGTTAATTGTATGTTAGCATTACTTTATATTTTAATGGAAGATCAAGTTTAATAAAATTATTAACTTGTTATATGATTGTGAAATAATATATATATGTTAAATGATTATTTAACATATGATTATTTTGGTGGACTTTGTGCTTATGTTAAACATGTTATCATGTTGCAAGTCATAGCATGCTAGTTGTGTAAATTGATGTGCTCTTTAGGTGTTTGATTAAATGCCTAGGTGAATACAAGTATGTTAGTTGAGTTGATTATCTTACATAACATGCTTGAGATCGTGTTAAAATGTCATTACATTGTATTTCATTATGCATGGGTTGCACTACATTCATGGGCATTGACATGGGTGAGAGTGTATGCATGGTATGAAATCAATCACCACGTAGGTGGTTGAACGTGGACTCGGAAAAGTCGCACCAAGGTTCGGTTGAGTCGCACGAGAAATTAAATGGATAAATGTGTTGGGGACAGCACGAAGGGCTAGATTCTCCCTCGGGTGCAAGACCCGCTTACTTGGTTTATACACTTTCCGGCGGTGAAATTCCAGAAAAGTGTAACGGCGGAAACGGAGCCGCAGGTGGGATGTCCTGAAGATCCGTTGATGGTTGGTGTCCCATTGGTGTAATACCATAAATCATCTCCCCACAAAGACACAAGAAAATGAATTAATTAGCATTGAGTGTACATAACACCAATGATGGGGGCTTGGAATGCTCGGATACATACGCATGACATTGCATGTGTTATGGGAGCTCAGGATGGGGCTCGGGGTTGGTATTGCTTGCGTGAGTCTCATCTCATGGCATGACATGATCTATAACATTCAATCATAATAGACATATTTAAATGAATGTATCAAATGATTGTTGCATGTGACATTCCATATTCATTTAGGTTGAGAGGTATTCTCTATAGGAGTTACCCTATTGAGCGTTAGCTCACCCTTTATGGGAACATTTTTCAGGTATCGCACAGGCTTCCACCGAAGGCGAGGCCATGGGCCCGCTTTGACGACAGAGCCGGTCTGTGGCTTTTATTTTGACATTGTAGTCCCTTGTTTATACTTACTTTTGGCCTTGTGTAATTTTTGTAACAAACATTGTTTATATTTACAAAGGCATGTATATGGGACTCTTTTGGGACATTTATTCTTTTACGAATAAATGTATGTACTGATAATGATTATGGTAGTATTCGAGACTATATAATTGTGAATGGATAGATAGACCCGGTGTGGTCAATGTTGTACAGGTTGCGTTTTGGGTAGAGCTCCTTGTACAAAGGAGACTCTGTCCAAATTTTGTTAAGTTATGGATCCCAAGAAATGGGGCATAACGGTGTGGTATCAAATTACACGATATCCACCAGTATTACACAGGTCGATGGATAAGCAATCGGATAATTACAGACACCCGGACTTTGGGGTGTCACAAGAGGTCCATTCTTAGTCAAGTTCATCAGGGTTCGAGGACCTACATCACCAAATAGTAGGCAACGCCATCCCAAGAGTCTCACCCATACTGCCTTGGAAAAGTCAACCACGTTGTCCTTAGAACTAGTCTTGAGAAGAGTTCCATAACTGCTTCAATCGTTGTGAGGGAGATGCCAGCTTCACCAAATTAGTTACTTAGTTACTGAAAAGACGCCTTAGTCTGTTATGAGACACTATAAATTGTAAATCCTATCAATACTTGGGGGCATTGAATACATCTGCTATCACTCTTATCTTTCTCACAGCTTGTACGTCTGTTGCTCTCCCCTAATCTTCTTATACTCCTCAAAATAATAAAATATTAGGTCATCCTAACCCTTCACAGTAGAGTAGATCATGTTGACCGAACAACTCTACATGTTTGTCTCTCTACTTAAATACTGCAATAATTACTATTTCACTTGACAGGTGGTACATAAAACTAATTTATGTATCATCAGAATCTAATCCGATAACTATATGTATATAATAATAGAATATAAAATTAGACTTTATTGTTCATGTAAATATAAACAGAGATATAAAAAACTACATACAAGTGTACTACTAATAAAGTGAATCCAAACCAATTTAGAAGTAATACTATTAATACAAAATTGGAAAAGAACTTAAAAGTCAAATAGGTATAGAAAATACAAATTAAATAAAAGAAATAAAAAATGTAGAAGTCAAATATTATATTAATAAAAGAGTTCCAAAGAACTTAGAAGTCAAATGGATATAAAAAATAAAAATTCGATAAAATTCATTTATGGGTATTATTTAATTTATAATAATAATTAAGAATAAAATCAAAAATCAAATTTTTTTTACAAATGTNTAAAAGAAATAAAAAATGTAGAAGTCAAATATTATATTAATAAAAGAGTTCCAAAGAACTTAGAAGTCAAATGGATATTAAAAATAAAAATTCGATAAAATTCATTTATGGGTATTATTTAATTTATAATAATAATTAAGAATAAAATCAAAAATCAAATTTTTTTTACAAATGTTGATATTTATAAGTATATTTTTGTGAAATTTTATTCAAACACCCATAAATTTCCTATTATCTCAGTTAAAAAAAAAAAAAATTGCAAAAGAGAAAAGCAGTAAAGAATTAGAATTAGAATTAGAGACCCAGTTGTGTTACTATTATGTCACGAGGAAGCCGTGTGGACCCCACAACCAAAACCTTTAAAACCCCCCGCCAGCCCTAATTCCACAACCCTCAACCCCCTGACTCTCTTTCTAAAACTCCTTTTCTCTCTCTAAAAGGGAACACTNACAATTGCAAAAGAGAAAAGCAGTAGAGAATTAGAATTAGAATTAGAGACCCAGTTGTGTTACTATTAGGTCACGAGGAAGCCGTGTGGACCCCACAACCAAAACCTTTAAAACCCCCCGCCAGCCCTAATTCGACAACCCTCAACCCCCTGACTCTCTTCTAAAACTCCTTTTCTCTCTCTAAAAGGGAACACTTTTTCTTCATCGACTTAGCTTTCTTAGGTTTACCATATTCTTTGCGAGCTTTTGCTTCTCCGATTTCGATATTCAGGTGCCTCAAATTTCCCATTCGTCGGGTATGTAATATGTATAATTGAAAATACCTTTTCAACCATCATTATTAGCACAATGATTTATTTGTTTGTCTGCTATTGTTTTGTATAGCTAGGCATATATGTATGTGAATATTTATATGGGTGTGTATGATGGGAGATATGATTGGTGTCACTTCTGATTTTTTGATGTTCAGATTCGGGAATTTTTTTTTTAAATTTCATTGATTGTTACTTATGAATCTTGTAATTTTTACCTGTTNGTACAATGATTTATTTGTTTGTCTGCTATTGTTTTGTATAGCTAGGCATATATGTATGTGAATATGTATATTGTATATAGACATATATTTATTTATTTTATATGGGTGTGTATGATGGGAGATATGATTGGTGTCACTTCTGATTTTTTGATGTTCAGATTCGGGAATTTTTTTTTTTTAAATTTCATTGATTGTTACTTATGAATCTTGTAATTTTTACCTGTTTCATCGTATAATTCCATGATTTGGAATAGTAGGAGTATTAAAATTCTCCAAATCTATGAAAAATATTTGAATTTATCCGATAGTTTCACCAAACGACAAATCTGGTTAGACCCTGCTATTTTCATTTTAAAATTTCAGAGATTTTGTTGCCAATTAGAAGAATCGATAAAGGTGTAGCGTGGCCCTTGTTACTGATGAATCTTGTAATTTTTATGATTTGGTACAGTAGGAGTATTAAAATTCTTGAAATTGATGAAACATATTTGAATTTATCTTGATAGTTTCACCAAACTTCAAATCTGGGTAGCTGCTATTTTCGGTTCTTTCTAAATTACTTCCAAATATCGCCATAGCGGGACAAAGTGTGCATCAATTTTGCAATATTTCCTGAATAACTTCCTCATTAGTAACATTAAATTGTTTGGAAACCTTGAATTTGACCATTTATAGGTCTATTTTTTNCAGTTCTTTCTAAAATTACTTCCAAATATCGCCATAGCGGGACAATGTGTGCATCAATTTTGCAATATTTCCTGAATAACTTCCTCATAAGTAACATTAAATTGTTTGGAAACCTTGAATTTGACCATTTATAGGTCTATTTTTTTTATTAGTTTGAAAAGGAAGTCTCTGATTATTGTGGGTGATTTGATACACATTTAGGATTGCCTTCTTCATGGAGACCAATCATCTAAATCATGTCGAAGTTGCTCCCGAAAAGCCCAGTAGTTCGGACAAGTTAGGCTTGCCTAATAAGAATGAGGTTCAAATGTCTACATTGCCTCCAATTTCTAGTGGACGAAGGTATTCTCTGCGGCTACATGGTTACAAGAATTCTGTCAGGACAATCGCAAATGAACGTTTGATGGCTTCGTCTACAACTGGGACTTCAGGAAGCAGCAATGGGGAAAAAGGAACAGGTAAAACATATACACCTTGGCCCTCTACTGCCTTTACATCTTGGTATCAGTAGAACAGAAAACTTCACTATTCATGACCTTTTGGTTTTGGTCCATAAGAACAATTAATATTATGTGGCCATGTCTCACATTCCTTGGTGAAACTTTCTACAACGAAAATAAGAAAAAGATACCCAATGACTACATTTTGACACCCTTCGTTGTGCTTTGCCCAAAAAAAATAGTTTCCCTTTTTTTGTTTGATCTTAACCAACTCCAGCCTATCAACATTGTTTCTGGTAAGGTTACGTCATTCATAAGTTTTTTGGCATGGAAAAGATGGAACAGTTTGTATGCACATTGAAATGTCAACATTTGGCTTTATTAACAGCACAGTTTGTTGTCCATCATGAGCAGGTTTTGCACTCTAATCTCACCAAAGGGGAAGACATTTTGTGTACTTTGGACTGTTCTTTTACTTGTAACAGTTGAGTGTTTTTAGCTATGGAATTCACAGCCATATTTGTCTCTACATTGGGTGGGATGTCTTAAGGTTTATGAAGTTTCGATCTAGATGTTATTTATGTAGGGATGCATTAGCCCAAAGAGGAATAGAATAATAAGTGGATCATTTAAATAGCATTGATCTTTCTCTTTCTTTTTCTCTATCTTTTTCTTCCTCCCTCTCATAGTTAACTTATTTGCATCATATGGAAATAGCCGACAGAGGTATAAAATCTACGTGGCCATTTTACAAGAACATTGACCTCTCTTATGCCTTTTAAGTATCCGATATATCAGTTAATTCTGCATAAAATATTCTTTAGTTATTTATTTTGGGGACAAATTACCTTTTATATATACTTTCAAAACTCTCGTTAAGCTTTAACAAAAGTGCATTTTCTTTTAATAATTAAAATTGTGGAACTCTCCAACCTTGTACAGTATCATCAGCATGGAACTTTTCCGTATTTGAATTGTTTTACGTGCTTCTTTATCTGCTGAAATTTCAAGAGAAATATAACACACAGTTCTGAAATATTTGCTGATGGCAGGTCAGCCAGGTCAAGCTCAGCGGAGTAAGGCAACTCAGTTAAGGAAAGATCTTGAATTACCTGTTAAGAGTAGCAGAGTCGATAAAAGCACAGCTACTGAAAATCCTACGGCACCCATTGAGAGAATTCCACTTCAAAAAACTTCAGCTCTTCGCAATGTTTGGAAGGAAAAGTCCAGGATTCAACCTTCTGTTTGTCAACCTAAACCTTTGGTTAAGTGTAATGCTCCAACATGGAATGATACGTCCAATGTGTCTTCCGAGTCAAGGAAAGATACTACACTGCCTGTTAAGAGTAGCAGAATCCAAAGAACTTCGACTCTCAAAGATCCTGCTCCACCCACTAAGAGGAGTGGAATCCAAAAATCTTCAGTTCCTCACGAGGTGTGGCTGAAAAAGACCAAAGTCCAACATGTTGGATCGAAGCACTTACCATTGCATCAAAACCCACAGGGGTTAGTGAAGACACAACTTCTACCCAGGCCAACACAACCTTCTTCTAGTCGATCACAACAATCCATAAAAAATACAAAAAGTACTGCTTCGAATAGTATCACCAAAACTTCGACACAATCTAGCAAACATCCCATACTACCTGATAAGGGTAAAGGAATCCAAAAAGANAAACAAAAAGTACTGCTTCGAATAGTATCGCCAAAACTTCAACACAATCTAGCAAACATCCCATACTACCTGATAAGGGTAAAGGAATCCAAAAAGATTCGGCTTCTAAAGATCCTGCCTCACCAATGAAGAGAAGTGGAACCCAAAAAGCTTCTACTCCAAGCCAGGTTCAGTGCGAAAAGACTGAGGCCCAACCTTCTGCCAGTCTATCTAAATCATCCTCAGAACTTGCTACTTCAGTCTACCATATCAGTTGGAATGGTATGTCCAAAATCTTACTCAATAGTGTTTCTTTCCATATAGGATTGTGTTATTTCAAACTTTCTGATATTCAATTTTAATACTCAAAATANAACCTCAGAACTTGCTACTTCAGTATACCATATCAGTTGGAATGGTATGTCCAAAATCTTACTCAATAGTGTTTCTTTTCATATAGGATTGTGTTATTTCAAACTTTCTGATATTCAATTTTAATACTCAAAATATGTGTATATATGGGCATTATGAACCAAGTTTTTGAAGAAGTGTTTGAGATGCAACTTTAATAAAAGGATNTATGTGTATATATGGGCATTATGAACCAAGTTTTTGAAGAAGTGTTTGAGATGCAACTTTAATAAAAGGATATTATGGCTGTGGTCAAGTATCTTGGCAAGTAGCATGGTAACAAAGTCCAAAAATTCCCTATGCTGGGCCTCTGTCACACTTGGCCGAAAATGCCTTATTAGGGTTGCTTGGTCAATTATTTGAGTAGTTATAATTGGGAGTGGAATAAGGCCTTGCCAAACTGAGAATTAGCGCAACAAATTCTTATAAATTCACAGGCCAACCTCTTGTGTCAGTTAACAGTCCTCAACATTTCCCTATAATCAAGTGATGTCATGTCATAAACCATTTTTTTGGCTTACCAAAGGTGTTTTACTTTGGAGACATGAGCATGGTCCTGGAGTTATTTTAGGCAAACAATAATTCTGAAATCAAGATTTCTTTGCCAAGTGAAAATGTGGAATCTCGTTCATGGCATAGACAGTGAAGCACTTTGGCAAGAATCTAAAACGAATGTGATTATGACTAGGAATTTGAAAACCAGCGCTTGTTATGAGTGTTGAAGAGGAAGCATACGCAAATCTATGGATTTTCTTAGGGATATTGGAAATTTTACAAACTATGCAGCATGTCCTGTAGATGCATTTATTTTTATATGNCAAATCTATGGATTTTCTTAGGGATATTGGAAATTTTACAAACTATGCAGCATGTCCTGTAGATGCATTTATTTTTATATGTGGTGAATTTTCAATTTTGTTGTATTTTTACTATCAGTTAACATGATAGTTCAGCGTACTTGTAAGGAATTTTTTCCACACTAGGATAATACTGAAATCAGCAGTTGTATTTTTATCCAAACTAGTCTGAAGCGATGACCTTATGTCATAAATGGTCACGTGAATACATTTTTTANGCGGTGAATTTTCAATTTTGTTGTATTATTACTATCAGTTAACATGATAGTTCAGCATACTTGTAAGGAATTTTTTCCACACTAGGATAATACTGAAATCAGCAGTTGTATTTTTATCCGAACTAGTCTGAAGCGATGACCTTATGTCATAAATGGTCACGTGAATACATTTTTTATTCCCAGCTCATTAGTAGTGGTCAGTTCATGAAAGAAAATCTAATGGTGAAGTCTGTTTTTATGTTGCCTGCTTAGAGTATTCGTCTTTCTTGGTATCATTACTAATCAGCAGGTTTCCTTTCAGGTTTTGATGAACCAGTTGGACTGAACTGTTGTTTATGCAATGAGGATCTATCAGAGTATCCAAACGATGATGTCCCTGAGTATTACGATGAATTTGAGCAGTCTACTCTTCCAGAGGTTTCTATTCTGCCATGTGGTCATGCTTTCCATAGTTCATGCTTGCAGCAAGCTACGCCTGAGGAACATTCGAGAGATCCTTCATGCTTTTTATGTTTGAGTAGCCATGACTACTGATTATTCTCTTGAGAAACCATTTTTGTGACATTATTTTATTCTAGTCTACGTATTAAAAGGCAAAATAAATGAAATAGAATTTATTGATCAATTAGATCATGTAATTGTACAAAACGTTGATAGAATGTTTAGCGTAAGTTGTAGAAGTGGAAATTTAGTTGTAGAACTTATAATTGGANCTTGACTACTGATTATTCTCTTGAGAAACCATTTTTGTGACATTATTTTATTATAGTCTACGTATTAAAAGGCAAAATAAATGAAATAGAATTTATTGATCAATTAGATCATGTAATTGTACAAAACGTTGATAGAATGTTTAGCGTAAGTTGTAGAAGTGGAAATTTAGTTGTAGAACTTATAATTGGATGCTTTCCCTCTCAAATTTCTTCCCATGCTTTTATCTCTGTTTGGTTTCTCTTCTTTTTTTAACTGATCGAGAACTGTCCCCCACTCATATGCTTTTAAAACTTGTAATTGTTACGTAAGGTCATGATGCAAATAATCATCTGCAAACCATTAGGTCAATTAAGGCATCTTTTGTTTTTGAAAACGCCGGTTTAAGTTAAATATCAGCAATTGTCTGTATTGTTTTTCTCTTCCCCACCTTTTTTTTTTCNATCTCTTTCCATGCTTTTATCTCTGTTTGGTTTCTCTTCTTTTTTTAACTGATCGAGAACTGTCCCCCACTCATATGCTTTTAAAACTTGTAATTGTTACGTAAGGTCATGATGCAAATAATCATCTGCAAACCATTAGGTCAATTAAGGCATCTTTTGTTTTTGAAAACGCCGGTTTAAGTTAAATATCAGCAATTGTCTGTATTGTTTTTCTCTTCCCCACCTTTTTTTTTTCTGGGTGAATGGGCTCTATCCCTGACTTTTTTTTACATAGCACAAAAAAGAAATAAAATAAAAGCTCCATTGGCCTCTTTTACAATATCTTTTAATATTTCACTTTATTATAAACATGTAAACAAAATTTATTTGCACAAATTATACACGTTGCATTTACAGCTTCATTTGAAACTATTAATTTATGCATAACTTATTGAGTAATATTACATGGACGTAAAAACTAAACTTGATATTCTCAACCATTGATTTTACTGTGAATCCCAACATTTATTGGGACCCACTACCTAATTAATGGTTGAGATTTTTAAGTTCATGTAACATTACTCTAACTTATTTATCGAACATTAAAAATTCATTGAGCCATACGAATACTGGGGAGTAGAGAGAGAGAGAGACATAATATGTTTTAAAAAGTTATTGGATGGTAGGAAGTGAGTGATGGGCTACAGGTCTGGATATTCAAATATCCGTGATGCCATTACATTGCAGTTATACAGTAGGCATGAAATGATTTTCCCCATAAATACAGTCAATGAAATGTAATGACTTAATGATAGCCACACACAAATGTTGTGTATAGGAGAATAGGATTTATTGTGATAAGAAAATGGTGATCACAAAAAAAAAAAAATTGATATTAGCTCAAAAGAGATAGTTGCCTGAAAATTCAAGGATCCAGCAACAACTCAATAATCGTGAATCGCCCAATGTCATATAATTCATACTGTAACACAAATCATCGACAAATCTTGCACATTGGTTGAATATGAGTCTTATGAACTAGTGAAATTTAAACTTGATGAACTCAGATTTAACTGGGTCAGGCCCAATAAATCAGCTAAAAGGTAGATTAAGTCCAGTTCGTGAATTCGATCTAGCCCTAGTTTCAAAGAGTTAAAAAAGATTAAGGCACGTGGGGAGCAATCATCGGAATACGCACCCTCGGAGATCAAAACAAATTTTAATTGTACTTACCTTTTGTAGTTATTCTCCTCGAAAAATTAGTATTTTTACCCTCACGTCACCTCCTCACAAAAAGACTTCACAAAAAAGACTTTGTGCCTCTCTTGGAGCTAACCTTTCCCCTCTTTCTCCCTCTCACCTTACTTTATTAAATAAAAGGCTCTCTAGCCACCGTTACCGTTTTCTAGAGTAGAGTAGGTCACTTTGACCGAACTACTATATATATGTGTGTTGACCCCAAAATTTACCTTTTTGTCATTGATTGTTTTATTAATTCATTTGCACCATTCACTCAACTGTTGATTGTGTATAAATCCATTTTGTGTATCATTAGAACTCAAGACGTGCGAGTTCAAGTTTTGTTCCTTATTCAAACACTGAATTAATCTAAATGTAAAATTCGTTTAGTCTATCCTACAAAAAAGACCGAGATGTGGTCATTGAGGTGGAGATTGATCAAGGGTTGGATAGACATCAAAAGAGAGTGAGGATGCAAATCCTGTCCCTCGTATTTTCTTTGTCTAAGCAAGTTGAGGAGGGAAGTTAGAATCAGACGTGTGGTATTCATAGGCATCTGGGAGTGGATGTATGTTTTACCAAATTATAGTTTTTTCAATACTATCACAATCCAACATTAATGCACAATTTGGTGGAGAGCCCAACTCTTCAATCAACAATGACCCTTATTTGATTGGGTGGAAAACACCAAAAACCCAAATCTGAATTATCTCTGCGTGCATGAGTAGTGAATAGAGATTCTAACGGTGATTGCACATTACTATTTTTTGTAGGTATTGAAAATTGGGACAAAAATATGGACCAAATGATGTAGAGTCTTTATGGGGAGAAAATTAAAATTTCAAATGAGTAAAAGTACAATAAAAAACCACCATGCCTGTCCTCAAAATTGTACGTGTTTTTTCTAAGTGGATTTATAAGATCTTATTTGGTGAAATTTTTTTTAAGAAATGTTTCTTAAAAAAAAATTGTCAAATAAGTAAAAACATTTACATAATAAGGGAACTAGAAAAGTTTGTCTTGAATTTTTTGCGGCTCAAATTGCTTGACGATAATTGATCCGATGGTTTTGATGCAATGCAAAATCTCTCNACGTAGTGTCTTCAAACATGGATAATGACTAGTGTTTAATAATTTATCTATCTATACTTATACTACTTATAAATGTCAACATTTGTGAAAAACTTTTGATTTCATGTTTTATCCTTAATTTTTATTATAAATTCAATAATACTCATATATTAGTTTCTTCTAATTTTTATTTTCTATACCTATTTGACTTATAAGTTCTTTTGAACTTTTTTATTCACATTATTTGACTTCTAAATTATATATTACTTTCATTCAATTTTTGTTTCCTATACTATTTGACTTAAAGTTGTTTTAGGCTATTTTATTAATCGTATCTGATTTTTAAATTCTTTTGTACTCATTTATTGGAAGTACACTTGCATACAATTTTTTATATCTATGTCTATATTATATGAAATAAAGTTCAATCTATATTCTATTCTTTTACAGTCCAATATATGTTATAGTTAATTTTTTGGTATATAACAATATAATATTATTATAATAAAAATAATAGTATTACAATTTAATTAATTTCTTTGACAAAAAACGTAATAAATTTATAATACAATTAGATATGTAAATACTCAATAATGACTACCTTACAATAAAGATTCATTATAAACAAAAGAGGAAATATCTAAGGGATCGAAGAGATACCTAAACAAATAACACATTACATACTCTAAGAAAAGTAGAATAAATCAATAAATAGGTTTGACAATAATTAAAATAAAAATTACTTAATTTATTATTCAATTTTGATTACACATAAAATTTAATTTTTTTATAAAAAATATTATACAAATATATTCACGTGCAACACATGTTATGCAATACTAGTTAATTTATACAAGGGATTGTGGACATGAATAATACCTTAAAAACAAAAAAGAAGTAGCAAAAATAATTTTAAAATATGTTACCAAATAGTACCTAAAAATTCATCATTCTATTTTTTTTTTAAACTTTTACAATTACCTTCTAAAAATTTGTCCCAAAGGTTAGCCTCTAGACTAAACTCATCAAAGATAGATTGAGCTATTATCTAGGAGTTGGTGTTGTAGAGGATCAGCCAAAGTGAGTTGTTTACCAAAATGTCATTCTTTTAAGAGATATACACCAAAATAGGGTAGTTTTGAAAATAATTACCAAACTATGATAGTTTTAAAACAAATAAAGCGGAGGTAATAAATACGCTTTTAAAGGGTCTTTATACATTCCAAAAACTTATAAAAATACGGGAATTTATAAAAGCGATTTTAGTGAATCTGTTTTAAGTAAAAAGTGGTCTTGGTGANAGTGGAGATAAATTCATGATTCTTATAGATGAGAAAGATTTTATTTATTGCTTAATATGGAGGATATGATCAACAATATATTTCATGTCATTTTAAAAGAAGAATTGATATGAATGTTTTGGGATTAATTTTTTTTTTTTTTGTGAATTTGGGCAATTGTCTGCAATTTTTTTGTTTACAACGTAGTGTCTTCAAACATGGGTAATGACTAGTGTTTAATAATTTATCTATCTATACTTATACTACTTATAAATGTCAACATATGTGAAAAACTTTTGATTTCATGTTTATCCTTAATTTTTATTATAAATTCAATAATACTCATATATTAGTTTCTTCTAANCTGTCTTTATGATAAAACATGTTTAACAATTGCGCTTTTATTAGAGAACGGAATCATCAATTACGTTTTCACTTATAAATGAAACAGAGAATTTAAACCTGCTTTTCAAACAAATATTAAAATCCTACAAACCCCCCACCTTCACCACAGCCCCAACACACACACACAAGGAACCGCAGAGGGTTATGGTTATGGTGTCCTATTAATGCATCCAAACTGCGAAGCTCCCTATCATAAGGCACATGAAAATGTTTGTTTAAATGCGTAGGAGATACTGAATGTTTACCATCTTTATGTTTAACTTCAATNTTTTATATCTATGTCTATATTATATGAAATAAAGTTCAATCTATATTCTATTCTTTTACAGTCCAATATATGTTATAGTTAATTTTTTGGTATATAACAATATAATATTATTATAATAAAAATAATAGTATTACAATT